GGGGGGGGGGGGGGCAAGGTGGGAGAAATGCGCTTTGTTAATTTTCGATGTCTGTCTCGGCGACTGGAAAACCGGTAGGCGTTTCGGTGCGTTCACAGTGCGTTGTAAATAAGAATGAGGTGTTTGAGAAACCGGTTTTTCTTCATGACGTATGCGACCAGGACATACTCGAATGTTGCGTTCGGAGAAGCCGTAGACAATACAGTAGGTCACATGAACGCAGACAAAATCGATAGGACGGACTGCCGACCGTGTTTTTGCTTAGACTTCGGATCGCGTGTGTGCACTGTGTGCTGCATTATACACTCCGGTGGGTTTTTTTTTGCGTTTGGTTTGCCGCCCGCTTATCGTCTTTAGGGGTTTGCCAGTGTCGCCAGTGTCGGTTATCTGCGTCGTCGGTGCGGGATGCCGAGGGATTATCGTTAAAGCCTGCGACTTTCTGCCTCATCTTTTCGAAGGACACGGTCAGAAGTGAAGCCATCTATCAGGTATCAATATAATCGGGTACGGAGGATTTGTTTAGGATTTTTTTTTTATCGTTTCACGGGACTGGCAGGAACGCAAGAGCGTATTTCTTCGGAGGGGGTATCTGCCTGCAGATTTTTTTTTGGCAAGCGGTCAATGAAAAGTTTCTGGCAGATCCCCTCCTCTGCCTATAAACAGTCGATGGAGCGGCACGTGATGGAAGTCCCTTTTGCGCCAAAGCTTCATTGTATATAAAAATATATGCGATGAATATTGTTTTTATGGATGAGTGGGATATCTCGGGATCTCTCGGTCCGCGTCGTCGGTTCGTAGAACGTCGAGAAGTATGCAGCACATGGGCTCGTCCTCGAGTCTCGCCCGAGTCGGAATTGTATACAAATATTTAGAAACGACCGAACTGCGCGCAGGGAGTGCGGGGGAGAGGGATGGTGAGGATTCGGACGACGAGGACGAGTATTCGAGCAACGAGGATGGGAGCGATAGCGAGCCGATGATGGAGGAGCCTCTGGGACCCTCGGCCAGGAAGGCACCAAGGGGCAAGGACCTTCACACGCACGCCAGGGTGAGGGTTTCGGGGAGGCGAGGGGGAGGGGGTGTGTGTGCCTGTGGTTCATGTCTGGTTCTCGATGCAGCAAAGGAACTTGAAGCAGAGGTTCGTGGCGTTGCTGAAGAGGTTCAAAGTCAGTGAAGATCTCCAAACCGTTCTCGCCGGGAACCAGGAAATCGAGCAGAAGCTCTCAGGTGAGCAGTCGGGTGTCGTATCGTCGGGATGAGCGTTGTCGTCCAGGTACTTGCGTTTATCGGTTGCAGATGTAATCGGAGAAAGTACTTTTTCGATCCTGGTCGTTGAGAAGCGGTTAAATTACATTTAGATGGGTTAGGTAATGAAGGTTCCAAATCCATTTCTCATTACTTTTCCATCGGTGGCACCTATCTAAGGCAAGAATGTCTGTAGATGTTAGATGGATACCGGACAGGTTTCCACTCCTGACCGGAGTGCTGATGGACATTTTGTACTAAAAAAAAAAAAGGGGGCGTCTTCTGTTCACTCACTGTTGCACTCAACTTCATTAGTCGTCTCTGGAGGACGTAGAGAATGGAATGCAAAGTAATTAGAAAATGTTCGTAAGTAAAAAAAAACGAAATCATTACGATTGCATTGATGACAGTAATCAAGTAAATTGGTTTTGGTGGATTATAATTTAAGTACTCAAATGCTGGTAATTTAGTGAAGTAATTGCGCAGTACTGATCGTAATGAGGGTGTTATGTGAAAGGACGGAATGGAATGTTTGCCTTCTGATTCTCAGGTGGTGAGATCATGGATCCTGAGGACATTGATGACCTCCTGAATGAGTTTGATGACTTGAGCGACAGTGGAGGAGAAGTGGACAACATCTCTGTCTCGTCCACGCCCAAACCTTCTCTCAGGCCGTTCTTCTCGTCCTCGCGATCGCTCGTGTCGGAGACTGTTCCGGAGCAGGGTGAGCTTATCGGGGTGGTTGATGGGCCTGGGTTTAATGAGGCAGATAATATTCTGGCGCCCTAGAGAGTTTTCGTCAATAAGTGATAGAGAAGTTCCATTTGGCTTGGGGGAAGCCTTTTCATTGCTGCTTGGCATCTGTAAAGTCGGAAATGTTGGCTGCCGTGCCCTTTACTGTCGAGTCTGTGCTGGAGAAATGGAAAGTTGATCGGTACTTCAGTAGCCGTTCTTTCACTTTATTTTTAAAATGTAAAAAAGAGACCCAAGGCACATGTGATCGCCAAGCTTAACATCGGTCACATTTTTCTCTTATTTTTTTTTTTACATTTGCTTCTTTTTTTTTAACGTATGGGAAACTCTGAAGGGCTTAAAGTTCCCAGAGGCTTAAATAAACCTGGAAAAACCAGGGTAATTAATTAGAACTGTATTTAGAAGCTAGAATTATTGTCCTGTTTTCATGGAAGGAGGCTAAAATTATTTTAACCATGAATTATACAGTAATGCACGAAGAAATTGGGAAAAGTCTGGAAAAAGTAAGGAAGGATGATACAAAAATACAAATTCCTCGTTTTTGATTCTTTTACATTGCATGCCACTGTGTGTTGTGCAAGTAGATGATGTCTGTGTTATTGATTGATGCACTATCTCATGCTAATGCAGAACAAGGAGCCAGAGGATCTGATCGAATGAGTGATGAGAATTCCAAGAAAGGAGATTCGGATTCACACCCGGAGCACCTGACAGATGCTGAGGGAAGTGATCCTACACTGCACCATCACCACTACCATCATCACCACCCTCCTTTGGCTTCATCTCCACCAAAGGCCTCCAGTGGGGATGAGAGAAAGGACAAGGAGAGAGAGAAGGAAAAGGAGAAGGAGAAGGATAAGGAGAAGGAGAAAGGGGAGAAGGAAAGATTGAGTGGATTGACGGATCTCCTGAATGCAGGTGCGAGGTTCTTTCCCAAGGACAAACCCTCTGCCAATGTTGGGATCATGCTTACCAAAGACAAGAAGCTGAGTGTCCTCCTTCACAAGGATAAGGACAGGGGTGCGCTCGAGAAGACCATCCCTGCAGTAGTCGAACCTAGTGTAATGAAAACCTTGAGTCTTTTTCCTTCTTTCTCTCTCTGCACGATTGTCAGACATTTTGTGATGGTGATTTTTCTTGCAAAATCCAGCCTCGCCGCGTCGTCTTGGAGCAGCTGGGTCGGCTGTTCCCACCCGATGAGCCCGGGATGCCAGAGAACTTAGTCATCCTGAATACCTGTGATCCCCAAGGAGCACATTTGGCTTCCTTGTTTCAACAATCGGGAGATTTTCTCCCAGCTAACGCTTGTCCCAAAGTCATATGTACTGCATCTGCTGCTGATGTTAAGGCCACGTTTGTAGCCCTCTTCTCCAAGATTCAGAAATTGTAAGTGCTTCATTTCTCCTTGTGCACTCTAGCTATTCTGTAATATATCCGATGATGTATTCTTCTTACAGCTGCAACAGCAATGCAAAAGCACCTCCATCAGTGAAGGTGGCTCTTGTTGGCTCAGAAAGCCACGTGAATGCTGCTTTGCGTACCTACGTGGAGCAGCTAGCCACGAAGTCTCCTGACTGGCTTGCTTATCTCCATTTCCTCATTCTTCCACTTGGTAAGGCTTGGTTTTGGCAGTGTCTAGATTGAAAATTACTGATAAGAAAAAATTGGTATAAGTTACATTTGAAATTCAGTGTGTTTGTGATGTTCTATTTTTTGTTAGGTTGCAATATTCACATACAGAAAAACTCTTTAACCTCCATCATGATCTCTTCAGTAGTTTTTTACATGAAGATTTCTGCATTATTGTTCCAAGTGTCTCAGAAACCATATCATCTGTGGAAGTGCTTACAGCAAGTACCTAGTTGACTAAAAGAGTGGTGGCCACTTTGCATGCATTTAAAATCAGAGGAATTTTCATGTCAGGAATTTTTGGCTCCTGAATGCCCCTGGATCAGCATCAGCACTGCTTCATACCTGAATCACATAATGCTCCTGTCTCCACAGGAGTGAATGCATTGTCCAAGTACATCTGCTCAGTGGACAGTGTGTACAACAACATGTTTGGGGAAAGTGGGTGGCGAGATCTCCTGGAAAAAGAAGACAAGACCAAGAAAGACACGCAAGAGGTCGTATCTCGGATAGGCCGATACCTGGGTTTGTGCTGTGGGCTTCTTCATCTACCAGTTGCAGAAGCCATGGTCACATACAAGGGGAGAGGGTCAGTGAAATTTTTAGCTCCTTAACTGTTATTAAGATTAGGCATATGTCATGGACTTATTGTGGAAAAATTTTACACTAGGAAGTCTCTGAGCTTTATTGCTAAAACTTTGTGCAAGTTTTTGTGGTGAAGAGCAATCTAAAACCTTGAAACTTTAATTTCTTTCAAAGGTACTTGGTGATATTTGGCATTAGAACTTGTGTTCCTATTCCCAATTTCATGAGTACTGTTCAACTCCTTGGTTTTGCTGTCAATGATAATGAGAAAATAAATCAATAATTAAGCAATTTTTTAATTTTAACCCTTGAGCTGCTTATTACTTACAACTTTAATTCAAAAGGTATAAAGAGCACTTTGACTGTAGTCAAGTGGAGCAGTGAAAGGTTAAGAAAATATAATTATATTTCATGCTTAGGGTTTTGAATAGTTTTTTGGTTTTCATTGTTTCATATTGTTTCCCATTGTCTTATTTCAGTTCGGATGAGGAGTCTTCCCAGATATTCATTCCATTTGTCAATGTAAGTCCACTCCTTTGTGCATCTCATGTGTGAATGTTGTCTGAAGTTCCAAGTTTCCTGACAGTGCATTAATCATAAAAATTAGTGGCACTTATTCCCCAAGTGATCAATTTATATTCCTGTTATTTCATCACCATTTTGCATCTGAAGGTGAACTGGATGAGTGATTAAATTTTGTCTCGTAGGAGGTTCGGATAGCATTCACGGAGGTGGGTGCCTCCACGTCGGTTGACCTTGAAGAGGCATCACCAGGAGGGCAGAGCAATTTTGGAGGAAGTGCTGGCCCATCCTCTCTTCCTCCTGTGTCTGGATCCCCCCCTCAGTCTAGTCACCTGGAGGTAAAGAAAGACACCACACCCCCTTCATCACCCAACATTAGCTCAACTAACCCACCCCTGTACACGTGAGTATCTGCAGCTGCTGTATTGTAGATCTTTCTCTGATGGCTGTGAAATGGAAGTGCATATTTTTATCTTAGGCAAGGAGCAGAGCCAATGGATTTGCAACTGGAATGGTGGCTTGCACCAGGCTCAAAGGCAGCATTAGAGAAAGAAAGGGAAGCCAAAGAAAAGGGGAAGAGTGAGGTAGGAAGTGGAAAATCTTCTCTTAAGGCTGGCTTCTGGAGCGTCATCATTCAGAGACGGCCTCCATTTGGACAGACTTCTTCTTCCACCTTCACCATGACATACTCTCTCAAAGAAAAGAAGCAGAAGAGTAAGTAGTCATTCTATGCAAGGTCATGTTAATGCAATGCCAATCATCTGCTTTTTGTTGGTCTCAGACTCAGCAAGAAAGTGTCCCCTTGATTTTCAGATGTGATTCAAAGGTTGGGTGGTAAGAAGAAGGAAAATGAATCTCGAAGCCAGACTGTGGAAGGTATTAATCGTCTCGTCTGCCTTGCCAAGAGTCATCATTATTCTTTGAAAGGTAAGGGACTTAATTTTGAGCAGTTTCTTGTTTAGCAAGGATGTTCAAGGAACTGTGCATCTGGAACTCATTCGAAACCTGTTTTCTTCTTAGTTACCATCGATGGAGTAGAGTGGTCAGGTGTCAAGTTCTTCCAACTGTCAGCACAGTGGCAGACCCACGTGCGTCACTTCCCCATTGCCACCATGTCTCCTGTGACATCAAGTGGAATGGAGAAGTAGTGATTTCTTTCTCATCTCATCTTACACATCAAAGCCTCTGTGGATTCATTATTCATTTATTTGCCTGGCTCAAGCATCCGTGTTGTCTCAGTTGTCAACCATCATGCTCAATTCCCCAAGACTACAGCTGAGAAACTGCAATGAGATATTTCTCTTTCTGTTCTTGTGCAAAACCAAGTCATTTATTTTTCCTCTTACTTCCACCCCATTTTTGTGGGCCTGGAAAATTTTTTAAGAGAATGAGAGACACAAGGCCCATTTCTTTTCGTTAGAGGAAATTTCCAATTTCCAATTTGTCTTATTGAATCAGAATTCGCATCATGAAATTTTTTTTTAATGGATCAATTGAGACAGCTTGAATGTAGCCCAAATTGAGGCAGTTGTTAATGAGGAAGCCAATAAGTCAACTGCCAGTTTCTCGGTGTTATTGGTAAAGCCTTGAGTTTTCTGTAGGCCCAATGTCAGCCTCTGCCCCTTGTGAACTGGGAAGCAGTGAGGTCTGACTATATTCATCCAAAGAGGGATAGATCTCAATTACTACTGCATTGAATAGTTCATCCAGGGAAGCAAGAGTGTGGCTGAGAGAAGTTTTCCAAGGAGTCATTCCAAGTCACTTGGTTAAGAAAAGAATAAATATAGAGTTGATCCCATCTCAAATGGCAAATATCGATATTTGATTTCCTCAGGGTCTTAATTTCTTTCTGTGCTGTCACTTGTCAAGCCAGACAATAGATGAGGGTTGTCAGCTGCATCAGGTTAAGGGAGAGTTCCAACTCATTCTAATTCCTTGGATGAACTATACCCAAGAAAATAAGGTGAATGAGTGCAAGTGAAATGTGACATTGGTTGTACCTGTGATATAGTAGTAACTAAGTTCTGCTTGTAGGAGAGGAACAGAGCATAAATTGCAAAAGTTAGTGTGGCATTTTTTTTTAATGCTTGGAATTCATAGGCAAGTAAGGACAATAAATTCATTTTTTCTCCTGTTGCTTTTTATGAAATTATGAACAAACAATCCTCCATCACACTTTGGAGAATACAATCCATGATTTTCAGCACTTTTCATTTCTTATGCTTGTCAGAGATGGTATATTGTTCATAGGTTTTGGAAGGATCATATGGCTCCCATCTGCTTGCAGGAAAGATGTGCTTGTTCTTCTCATACCAGCTCCGGGTCAACACTTTCCCTGCATGTGATTCATCCTTCTCCACTGTAGCATCACTTAACAGCCGTATATCCTCGTGGACATCAAAGCTAAAAAGTGGCCCACTCTTTCCTCGTGCCTAAGAGAACACAAGACATCAACTGATTCAATCTTAGTAGCATTTTCAATTAAACAAAAAGTGGCTGGTACCTTCTACATCCTTTTAAATGCACAGGGAAAGAAATAATTGCCTACAGGGAAAATGTCAATTAATTAATTAATCATTTCAAATGAAAATTAGGGATTGACGACGAGAAGTTGCATTGGCAGTTGTAAGAGGATAAGATCGCTACAAATGTAAGAGTCGTCAGTGAATACACTTAAAGGTGCCATAATTTCCAACCAAATCGCTGGTGCAGACAATAGAAGATTCATGTTTCATTAATTCATAGTAACGAACAACTAGCTCAGGCATGCCATCTCCCATTCGAAAACAGTGACCAGGATAAGGAGTGAAAGAATTATAAGGCTTGAAAAAGCACCAGAAAACAAAGTATACAATCGTTCTAGAAGATCAATCTAGACCAATTTCAGGCGCAATTACTTTATTTCATCCTTGACTTCACTACTGGCCACAAGGACGGGAAATTCCGATAAATGGTTTTGACCTGAAACTCAAGAGTTCCCGCAAGTCCTTTTCTTCTTGGCAATCTCTTAGTCATCCTCTGCAGGAAAGTAAGAATCCTATTACTTAAGTCCCATTTTAACCATGACCTTCAACTTTTGAAGCTTTGACTAGTATCGTCACCGGAACATCTGTTCTGATACAGAATTTCTCTTCCAGTCACCAAAGCATCTGTTACCTGGTAGTAATGATCAACATACCACAACTGGCCTTCTGTTCCACCACCAAGGGCAACCAAAATATGGACCTCCTAATCGTGACATACATCTGCAGATGTACACGTCAAGGAGAAAGCTTCTGTTTTGCTTAATGGAGCGCCTCCATCCAGATGTTTTTCATTTGGAAAGCCAACAGGCTGAGTGGCCAGAGGCCACAAGCTACGTCACCTGGTTAACCTAATAAACATTGGAATGTACTGGAAAATTGCTAAGGTCCCCACCCACAAATCTTATCAGAAACTTCTGATATGACGCAAACCCTCCTGACACCGCCCATAACAGACATGGAGATGAATAACCGTCATTCCTCAGTTTCCCGTTTGAAGTCTGTGGTACTTGAACCATCCTCGAGAGAAAGAGAAACTTTGGCATCAACGTGGACTCCAGCCTCAAGGTAAAAAGAATCAGGGCAAAAATTATCAAGGTACATATGAGCAGTACCACAATGATTGGGATCTACAAGTTCTATCATCAACTGCCAGAGAAGATAAAAAGTTTAACATTTTTGAATGGGGAAATGTACCGTCCAAATTGAGGCAAGTACAACACAGACCGTTCACAGAGAAACATTATGAACTTTTTTCTTCGTAAGAAGAGAAAAGTTCTTAAGTGGTATTCCTTAAGCCTTTACGCGAAAGACGATAAGATACTTCGAACGTTGTTCGTCAGAATGCTGCATACATTTTCTAATCACGAAGGCACAGTAAGATGTGGACTCGCAAGCATGGTCCTTATGGTATCATGTGCGGTCATTTTCACAATTCAACCTCGCCGGGACCTCAATTTCCCCAGCAAAACGTTTCCCCGTCCCTGTTTCCTCAATGAGCAACGAAATTTTTCACTCGTGAAATTTGGTCTCGGCCACTTTTCCTCCACTTTCTGCGGTGCCAAGCTTGATGACGTTCTACGATAAGATTCAGCGGCACAGTCATTTAAGCTGTTTTCAAAGTTTCGAAAGGCCCTCCAGTGATGTTAAAACTTGCTGTAAGAACGAAAACAATCGCGAGGAGTTCACAGGAAGTTTGCAGAAGGCTCGTGTGACACCTGAGTCACAACACGTGTGTTCCAGGACTCGGGTGTCACACCAGCGTGACAACCACGTCACGTTTCACCCTACGATTGCCTTGCCAGCGCATGAGACCAGTTATGATGGGCTAACTCATAACCGTAGCCACCAAGTTTCGTGAATACCAGCAGCGTTCGTAAGAACGAGACGAGGGCTTGCACCGCGAGGATCCCACATCGAGGCAATTTTCTCGACGAAGGCCCCGAGGCCGGGAAAGGCAAAGGTGACGTGACGTGGGCAAGGGATTCCTCACAAAACTCGGAAATGCCCTCACCGAATTCGCGAAAAAACAAAAGGAAAAAACAGAAACGTGTCGAACCAGAGGCAGGAAGCGAGAGAGAGGAAGAAAACAACGGAATCTCTTCCTTTTTTTTCTCTCAAGTTCCAGTCTTCAGCTCGATCTCAGTGCATACTGTGAACGTCAACTGTTCTTTTCATCTCTTCATTTCCGAATTTCATTTTCCCCCTATATTCTCCATTTTCCAGGTTTTTCCGATAATGAGTCTCACTTAGCATCAAATCGAACTAATAATTTTGTGCACAAAGGCAAATTACAGTCGACGCTCGACATGATGAACTCGAAGGGACAGGCTGAAAAAATTTCGTTAGAAGAAAAATTCGATAAAAGGAATTCCCCAAATGTCACTGGGGAAAAAAGGCCTTTCAAACTAAATGTCATTTATGGCCAAAAAGGAAGCAGTTCATGAAAAAAAAGCGAAAATATATATAAAACATAATTTGCAATATATAAAACATAATGCAAAAAATACAACCCCCAAGATGTGTGTATGTACCTAAATGAGCATGCACAGCAGAGCGTCCTCATGTAATAATTAAATCATAAAAACGTTGGTGTAATGAAAATCAGACGCTGTTAATCGTACTCAAAGTCCCTATAGAGTCCGTCAGCCGCGTTCTTTCCCGGACGATTCTTCGAGCCGTGGTCCACAAAGCACTCAATGTCTGAAAAGTTTCAGGCTCGACATTCGGCCTCAGAAAATTTGCAGAATTCTGGACTCGACCCGAGAAGATTGGGACCGATTGACGTCGCTTCTCTCGGCCGCAGCAATGAGTGAGTGATGCTAAATTTAGACACGAGATTTTCCAGGAACGCGCGAAAGAAAGCAGCTCTGACGTGTGTCGCAGATGTCAACTTCGTAATGCGCAACTTTTTCCTTCTTTGGACGAAAAGAATGACTTCGTGGGACCCGAACGATTCGTTATACAGAACTTCGTTAAAGAGAAACTTTCAACATGCACGTGAAAGGGCAAACGGCCGGGGAATGGAGAGAAAAAAAAATTCGTCAAAAAGAAAATGCCTATCAAGCGTCGACTGTATTTAAAATTTTTTGAGTGCGAAACATCTGATACTCAGAACACGGCCTGTCCTTGAGTCCCCTGTCATCACCCGCGACGTGACTTCTGTCATGCGAGAGATTCACTCGTTGGACCACGAGTACGTCCCATCCCATCGGTCCGAACACCGATCTTTGATCCCCCCCCCTCCCCCTCTCGCCCCCCCACCCCCACCCCCTGCGGGGTGAGAACTCGTAGGCAAACCTGGATATGTAAGCCACTTCAAGCTATGAAAATACGAAAGCCTTGAATGAGAACAGGCGAACAACGATCGGCGACGATGGTCTGCAGGCGGCAGATCCCAGAAGGAATGGTAACCTGTTGAAATTCAGGGAAGAGAGCGAGAGAAGATGCCCGAAACCCGAGAGAGTGGCTAAACAGACCGATTGATGAATCGAATTGCGAGAAAATATATGCTGCGTCTGCGCCCAGGCAACGTCTCTCCTCGCACAAGGGAAATATTGCACAAATATTGCACAAAAAGCTGCGCTGTTCGTCGCTCCCTGAATATGTAAACAAACTGTTTCCTTTCAGCTCCGATGGCAACTGGGAATGAATAAATTCATCTCCTTGAATCCCCCCGGAGGGGGGGGGGGCATATTTCCATATTATTAATCGGGACGGGACACATAACCGATAGTTGAGATCGATGCATTGAAAACTGTCATCATAACAGTCCTAATGTATACTCGAGATGATCCCCTAAAAAATGTCCCCAAAGTTACATGGTCTCAACCAACACGTAGGTGGTTCCACAAAAGCTTCAATGGAGTCGATTCTTAAGAATTCAAGTTTGAGTTCTTCTATCCGCATGATGTTGAATGAGTGCCAGCAATTGAAACCTGGCTGATTCCTCTGTGCATATTTGGACTCGCCCCGGTCCAATCTAGCTGAGCAAAGTGGGTACAAACATGCTTGCTCACGAGAAATCATTCAATGGTGGTGTGTTTGCAGCCACAAAATGTTGGGAAATGTTTTTTTTTTTTCAGGCCACATGCTCTGCATAAATAACGACCATGTTCCAATCTTGTCGTCTTGTCAGAATGAAAAGTAAAAAAAACAGCATGGTTAGAATGGCTTTGTGCCATCTGCCTACAAGGACAAACTGTGATCACAGTTACTGTAAACAGTGTCTTTGGATCCCTATTCTGGGAGAACCACACCTGTCCTGAAACAGTGGCATTAAACAAATAAATAAATAAATATTTTTTCTAAAAAAAAGTGTTTAGTCTACTTTTTCATTTTTTACCTTTCCATTCACCTTCACTAAAAAAACAAAAAAAAAACAATATGAATGTTCCCTGCACATGCTTAAATACAATATGGGTAATATATGGCAGTGATAGGCTTATGCTTTCCACTAAATATCATGCCAATCTCATGTTCCCTAAATGACATCACACCCCAACCCTTCAGGCAGGAGTGAGTTATTTAGGGAGGATTTTTTTGGACATTTTTTAAAAACTTCTAATCATGAAAGTAATAGTTTAGTTTCACTTCAAAATATGCTTCTGGATGAAAAAGAGTTCAAAGAACTCCCAAAAATTAAGTCATAAAATAAAAAAAACAAGGAAAAAATCAAGTTATAATGATGAAAGTACATACATTTCTTTGGTAGTGCCCATTGATATCAATGAAAAAGTTTAACATAAATCTGCACCTGCAGCACATATATGAGAGCAAGTATGTAGAGAGCTTATCAGAATATGGTTGACAACATCACGATGGAAAAGAGACAGTAGAGATAATCGCAGGTAATCTGTAAGGGAAGGATATTTAAAAATTGATGAATGAGAGAGAGTGCACTCTAATAGGCTAGTAGGTAAAAACCAGATATATGCATAGAGTACCTGCCAAAGGGACAGGTGTATCTGACAGGTGGATGAAGCAGATAGATGCAATAAGACAATATGAAAGGGGATTGCATTGACTTGGTAGCACATCTTAACAGAATGATTGGCAACCAGATCCAACTGGTTTTTCAATAAAAAATGCATTAGAGTTTCGGGCTCTTTCTGACCTTGGTGACAATGAAGTCATAGAAGGAATAATGATGTGGGATGATAAGATCCTCCTTGACATACATGAGCTGATCGGAAGTTACAGCCTTCAACTCGCTGAAGTCCTTTCTAAGCACTTCAAGAGCTTTTTGCAGGAACTGGTATATTGTGTGCCCTTTCTTGACACGGAGTGTCCTTCTGTGACCTGAACCATCCCAGTAACTGAAGGTAACTTCTATCTCCTCACTTTTCAGCTGCTTTTGCTTCAATTCCCATTCCTATAACAGAGAATTTGAATTCAGACATTTTTCCTCGCCTAGAGACTAGATGAAGCCGCTCCATGAGGCTTCAATTTCGCCAAACCTGCCGAAGTTCTTCACGAAGTCTGTTTTCTTCTTCTTCCCTTTCTCTGTCTGGAAGAAAACTTGTATCCACATCTGGATTCTTGCGAATCTTCTTTTTCTTTGGAATAATCTCTTCTTCTTCTTCCTCTTCCTCCTCCTCTTTTTGTTCATCTATGCCTTCATCAGGATCAAATGATAAGGCTTGAATCTAAACAAAGGATGGGAAAGAATGAAACAGACAAGCTTATACAAAGCTATACTAGGGAAAAAAGATTAAAAAACGCACTTGTGCTTTTTGTCTTCTCTTTTCTGCTCTTTTTGCTTCTTTTTCCTTCCGTTTTTGCAATTCCTTTTCCTTTATCTTCTTGGCCAGCTCCTTTTCTCGTTCTTTTACAATGATTTCTTGTTTTGCTTTCATTTGGTCCAGGGTGACCAATCCAATGGTTGAAGTCTTGGAAATAGGAAAAAAAATTATTTTGTGAAAAAAATGTGTGGCAAAAAATAAAATGCTGCAGAAAAACTTTGTTTCCTCATTTTTGCTACTATGATTTCATCTCAGAAATTTTACTTATGAAGTTTCAGCCAAGTTTTCTCAAAAATTATTATTGTCTTTCATCACTGGTAGTATAAAGGTTATGGCATGTAGTATTCATTGCATTATCTAGTTTCCACATTCAGGATGAGGAACCATATAGAGTCAAAGATATTCAAACAATCTCCTTTAGCATTCCAAAATTTAAGGCACTGCAATGGCACTCAATACCTTGAGCTGCTGTTCAACTGCATCATAGTGAGCAGCAAATTTATCTTCAATGGCATTTAACTTGAGATGCTCCTCAATTTTTTTCTTTCGGAATTCCAATTCCTCTTGGGCTTTCTCTCTGCGTTTGATGAGCTGCAGTGCTCGACCAGCTTCACTTGCTGCTCCTTTATATATTGCCATTTTGGTCTCACCTATGCAACAGCTGGCTAGTTGAACAAGGTATTCTGTAAAGAATTTTAGGATTTAAAAAAGTGATGTCTTTGTCAGGAGAAATCTGAAAGAAAAACCACCAGAGTTATATACTGGTAATAAAATAACTTAGCACTAATCTAGAATAGTTCCATAGAGAAAATAGCACAAATTGATAAACAAATGAAAAAACAGCCCTAAAGATACAATGAAAGAAATGAACATAAAGATACTGGGCCTACAAGCCTGAGGTTACAAAGCTCTAAGCCCTATGCATTTTCCAGACTCCTGTGTTTAAAGGATCAGGACACATTTCCTTGCCTTCTCCAGGAGCTCACCAATAGACAGTACACATGCATATTTCTCTCCAAGAGACTCTGCTTATAGAAATGCACATGTGTCCTTTTTTTTAGGAGAGGGCAAATAAATATATCCCAAGTCATCTTGCTACTTTAAATTCCAGGAAACTATTGATATGGACATGTCATGGATCAGTTATTTATTGATATCTTTATGTTGGAAGTGGATATTTTCATGAACTTTTTGACTCCACAAATAAGTCCATCATAATACCTAATTCTCCCTTCCTAATAATGAATAGGGATTTCAGGCAAAGAAGGTCCTCTCTCATGCTAACCTGCAGCTACCTCTTGTGCTGCAACATTGGTGGAAAATTCTCAAACTACCCTGTAGAACTTCCCATTGTTAAAATTGTCAAAACCTGGGAATTATATTTCAAATTTCAAAACACTTTTATTATCAGTATCTCCCTACTTTACATTTGAAGCACTTATTGCAGAACCATAGAAGCCAGTATATTACAATTTGTCTCAGTACAGATTCTCATAAATTTTGACAAGATTAAACGAAAAATCTTCAGGTCAACATCAAATATAGGTCAACATCAAATATAGGTCAACATCAAATATAGGTCAACATCAAATATAGGTCAACCAATTACTACAGAGCACTACAAAGAGTGTTTGATTAAAAGAAATTCCTTAGGAAACTTGGATTCTGCAAATGGAAGTACTATGTTCTGGTGAGAGCTTCTTCGTTTTATTTTCCCCTACCAAGATTTTTCTGCGATACTGTGGCAAAACCATTAGATTCAATATTATACAACCGAATTTCTGGAATCAATTGGACGATTTATGACAAAACTTAGGGAGACTGCCAGGATGGCCTGCACGCGGACATAGCTGTAGCAGTGGTGCCTGTTAATGATATCCATCTAAAGTTCTAAAGTTTCGGGAAGATCACGAAAACAGATCCACTGTTTGATCAATCGATCAATTAGAGGTATTTTCATTACAAGCATCTAGGTCTGCACACCAAAAAGCCCTGGCCTCAAGCACGAACTTGACCAAAAGTAACTATAAGATCAGAATAAGAGAAGAATAAAAAAGAAAAGCTCTTAACCTATTATCAGCCTAATATAAAAATATAACGCTCACGAAATTTTTAAATGTAATTGTATGGCACGGGTCATTTAGCTTGTCGAGGAAACACGACTCGACTCCCTCATACCTTGCGAGCGTTTAGCAGCATCCAGCATCCTCAACCAGTCACAGAATACGATGGCGACTTACGGGGCTGGAGTTCTCTTCCGATGGGTCGCGGTTAGAGGTTATTGTCCTGAATTGAAATCCAACATTTCATACCAAGACCTAAGTGTGCTCTTGTGGTATGAAAAGTTTACTCATTAAAGGAATTAACAGTGAATTCGGATTGACTTTGGATAACTAACGACCTGCTTTCAAATTGGCTTCGCCATTAAGCTAAACGTAAGGCCTAGGCCCTAGACCAGTGCATAGGCCTACGCATGATCCTTCTCTGCATTTCCTTAGGGACTAAACTTTGCCCCATGACGTAATGGAGTTGAAGCGTTGTCATACTGCTTGGTGATGCATTGTCCTGTAGTAGGCATGTGGAGTCGCTTAATTGCATTAGTTATAGCAGGGGGGCTTTATCTATCAGAGTTTAGACTTACACCAAGTAAGGTACTGTTGGGAGGTTGTAAATTTTGCTATAAATCTTGAAGAATTCTCCTCATCTTATGTTCAGTTCAGTACAAAATCAAGGTTTTCTCCCTAAAACTGAAGTGGCATTACCTTTGTTGGGTTCAGGCTTAATGCCTAGTCTGGTTTTCTTCTTGACTACTTTGTTTAAGTGGGATGAGAGAGGTTCAAGGAAACTCAGCCAGAGTGTCTTTTTGGTCATCACTTGTTACAACGTAACAAGAGTAAATATTTCTTGTCCTAAAATAAAGGGGTATAATGCAGCAGGTTTATGATGCTGCAAACATTATAGACTAGGCTGCTGCATATCCTTTAATGCATGATGTAGCAGATATGCTACATTCCAAATAAAAATTTTTAGAATGCGTAGGTAGCAAGCTTCAGTAAATTGGTTTGTAGTAGATGTGCAACAGTCTAGTCTTTATACCTAACAACCATGTGGTCACTAGGTGCTATGAGCAAATTAAAGTGACAAGCAAATTAAAAACATATGGCTTCATTGTGTGACAGACAGATGTTTTTTTGTTCAATTATTTTCAACTTATGATAACCCAGGTCCAGGTTCATCTGTATTTTTATATTTTCATTTGCATTGGATATGTACAAATGTTGATGGACTGACTGAGCTCTCTAACATCCATGTAGCTTGGGTTAGAAAGCTACAAATGCTGTTTGTAGCAAGTGTACGACAATAAAATTCTTGGGCCTACAACTTACAAATTTGAGGGAAAACTTTTTTTTTCAATTTTTCCCAAGATCTGGAACCTAAATAAAGCCTACCAGATTTTTTTGCTGGAAAAGAAAAATCATGCACTTAAAGGGTATATTTTGAAAAAAAAAACCCATAAAATTTGAAAAAATTATCGCATATCAACTCATAACATTAACTTAGGTACATGTAATCTATTTGGATTGAATTTGTACCCCTGCCCCAAGCATGGGAGTGCTTCCATCAATTTCAAGTAGTGACATCTTGATGGGTAGTTTCATGGATAATTTTTTAATGATAGGGATGGCATGGAGAGGTCTGAGTGAATATCTTGCATTTGGTGGTGTAATGCTAGCACACCTGACTGGCAATCAGGCTGTCCAGGTTCAATTTCTGGCTGTTCCCTGGAGTTCATAGATTCTCAGGGCCTTTCAGTTGTCGCTTTTATTGCATGAGTTGTTTAGTGCACATGAAGTAATGAGTTGGAGAGAATTTGGTGATGTAAAAACTTAATTATAAAGAGGATGTAGATGTAAAGAAGTCAGTTATTATGTGGCATCAACATCATGTCACATGCCATGCAATTGTAGCAGACAGCCTTGATGTAATGACTCAATCTGGGTTCCATGAGTGTTTAGAATGATATCAAGTTATGATAGCACATGATTTCCTCTCAATTGTGGGAGTATGTTTGCTCTGCCTGCTTTTGGTATCTATCTCACTGAGAGAGCATGGAACATATTGAAGGTGCCATCGCAGCACATGGTTAGTTCATGTGTGTCAGCCTCTGCATGGATTTGCATGACTCTGCATGGCCCATCATCTTTTTTAATAGACTTAGTTTTAGTAGGTTTGAAGAAAATCATTGAGCCAGAAAAGCAAAGTCAGCTATGTGCTATTTGTTTTTTTTTTTTAAGAATTTAATTGATGTGATACCATATGATTGGCTACCTGGTGCTAAATGCTCAAAGTCCAGCCCATGACTGTACCTATGTTTTGGAATCCGAGTTAATCCTCTCTGTATCCTGCATAAATCTCATCCTTCTGTAACTTTATCTCAGACCAAGTAATATCTAAATTTGGGGGACTTAAGTGGTATCTTGAGATATACCACCGAGGTTTATTTACCTTAAGCTCTGGAATTCTTTAATTTACCCCACCTAGAGTTGGAAAGTGCTGTGTGCTCAAGGATTTCCAAATACACAAGGACTTGCTCTTGAAAATGAGGACCTGTACTTGGTTGATTTTGAACCAAGGCCCTCTGGCACGAGAGCCAAGCTTGTTACCTACTGTTGGGCCACTCACCTGTCCCATCATCATAAAGCTGGTAGTAAGTACAGCTAAGCCAGCCTAGTCTGGACCTGCTATCCATAGTTGGGCCTGTCCACATTCCTTTGAAATAATTATTGATTTGATGGATATTGAGGGGGGAAAACTGGTTTTTTATCATTTGGGTCTGATTGATTAACTGTAGGGTTGCCACAAACAGACCAAGCACAGCTATTCAATCATTTTTTCACAAGAAGAGAGAACCAGAATTCACCAAAGAGCAATGCAAAAATTACGAGTTGTTTTAATATTTATATTTAAAAGGTATACCGGAGACAATGAAACTCTTTACTGATGTAAAATGACCATGACTATTTTCCGGACAGGTATTAGTAACCCTCTATATGTTGAGAACGGAAACACTGAAGAAAAAAAAGTTCACTTGAACATCGTCACATTTGATGTGGGGCAGTCTCATTTACCAGCTGTTTCACTGTGCAAGTGTGCATGTAAGTTATGAGGGAATGGCTTCTGCATCTTACTTCATTGGAGGGATTGATCTTATCATTTGACTGTGAATATTAACCCATTCGGGTGCCAATTGGTCTATCAACTGGCCTGATGCCTGGTGTCCCATAGGCACCATTCAATCTGCAAACCATTGCTGTTTTATTTGAATGCCAAATTTTGATGTAGTTTATGAACTATTCAACAGATAGCAGCACTTACCAATACAGGAAGCTTTGCTCTTGAATTTGCATTATAGATGTCACCAATATATCCAAAATTATATATGATGATCTCGATCACATTGGAAGGAAAAAATGTATCGCTGGCATCATTAGTGAAGAAGAGTGAAACACACTGAGAATGTAAAAAGTGTCTGGTTGCTCTTCATGTCCCCTATTGTTTCAGGGTGTACCACACCTCGACAAACTTCTAGTTAGGTAAAAATACTTGTCTTATTGGAGAGATAGCATGAGCAAGATTTTTTTTTACAAGTAATGTTGTCTGGTCTTTAGCATGTTTTTGCTCTATTAACAGAGAAATTGTGATTTTTAGCAACAAAGTAAAAGTTTATGAAAAGGTCAAA